TGCGGGGCAGCAGTGCTGGATTGCTCCTAAGGGTTCCTGGGTGCTGCCGTTTTTGGTTTTGTTTTATTTTTCTTTTCCTTTTTAGTATGTAATAAGGGAACAGTCGTCTTCTGAATTACAGCTTCTAGGTAAGGTGAAGAGCCCTGCATAAATTCCCTTTTCTTCCTTTTATAACTCCCATTTCCTCCTTGCGAGTAAAACATGAGCAGGTATGTGCCCTTAGAAGTGTAGTGTCTAGATAGAACTGCCTTAACCATACTCAAAACACCATTGCCAATTTCCACGATAGTTTTTAATCATGAAATCGAGTTTGTATTCTAGTTCCTGAACTTCAAACTGTTGTTTTCCTTCCCCTTCCTTGTAGACTCTGTTGTCCAAAAATTTTGTTTTGCTTTTGTTTTTCTAAGATGCTTGTTTAATGATAGGCATTCAAGATGTTGGATTGTAAGAAAAATGTGATGCATTTAGGTTGTCTTGTGGGATGTGGCTTGCTTTTGTTTTGGGTTTGGTTTTTTTTTTGCCTGGGACTGATTCCTTCTGGTGAAAACTATAGTGCTGGAATAAAAACTTACTGCTCATAACTGAGGTGTGTTGAGAAACACTAAGAGGCAGCATGATGGTTGAAGTGTTAGGGGACCAGCCCTGCTTGAAGGGATTGTAGGTACTTGTTAACATCTTAAGGGGAATGAACTCTTCTCCAGTCCAGCTACCAGTGGTGTGTATTTTTACCAGAGACAAAGCAAATAATGTGAAGTGCTTGTTGACTTGAATCCATGCATTAAGAATACTTGCTGCTCTACATATTGCAGCAGCATGTGCCTATATGGCTAGCTATAGGAGTGCCTTCCACTTCACTGATTATCATTTGTTCTAGCTACATGTGGATGCACTAACTGTAAGAACTTGCGTGCCTTCCTCTTCACCCAAACCCCAGCATCTTTCTCCTTACTCTGGGACATTCTGCTGATGGGAAACAGCTCTCAGGTCTTCCTCTGTTTATGGCTGTGACTGTAAACAAAGCTCCTAAAGAGGAAGAAGGTGAAGTATTATTGTAGCGTTGGGTTACAGTTGTAAGAAATGGTGTAGCCTCATTATGCTCTGGTCTATGTGAAAGATCACTGTATATGAGCAGGATCTTCTTGTCCTTCTGGGGTTTGCCTTTGGCCTAAGCTTATGTGGTAAAGGGAAGGCTCCTGAGGTGGAAATGGTCAAATGAAGTTCCTGCCATGTAAGTACAGGGAGCTAGGGTGACTTGCAGGGATGCAGGAGTCTGAACTGCTGCACTGTGAAGGTTTGAGGTGGGTTGGGTGATCCTGGCAGCAACGGATGTGTTACCAGCTTTGTTCTTTGTTGATGAAGACCACATGTTTAGGGTGGTCTGATGCAGTGAGACTAGGTGTGGAAGTAATTTGAACAGAGGTTGGTTGTATCAGGAAATCCATATAGAAAGGTCGTTAATGTAAAGCTGATGGAATAGTGATCTGCCTGACCCATGGTAGTCACGAGGAGCCCATCTCCTGCAGCACATTTGAGGTGGAGTGTTTCAGTGGGATACAGTCATGGCACATTTACTGTTGCTTTCCCCTGTGGATCCTGTTAGACTGCTCTTTATCTCCCCCAGTCCTCAGACTTACAAATTTGCCAAATACGTCTTCTATTTCAGAGATGCCTGGGGAGAGGCTGGAACTTGCTCAGCTTGCTCTCTTCTTTCTACCAGCACAGTGGCACTCAAAATGGTAGTCTAGAAAGCTTATACTGGTGGGTGGCTGTTCAAGTTCGCAGTTAGTGTCTTTTTGGAGTTTCATGGCTTTAGCATTTGAATGTTACAAGTCTCAGCATTAACCTTGTCCGTATCTGTAGAGTGGGTCTGAAACCCCTTCTGTTAGTGGCCACAGTCCTAGGAGGGTGCTATGTTAAACTTCAGTGAAGAATGTAAAGCTGTCAACCAGCTCTTTCTGGTTGAGTTTGAGGGGCTCAGTGAGGTTTCCTGTGTGGAGTCTGAAGTTTAAAATCCCCAAATCCTGGTTTTTATGAAGAACTGAGAGTGCTTTCTCTTTGTTCAGACGCTGAGCAGAAAGTGACTGTAAGATTTGCCTGGAACAGAATCTGCAATGAGCTGACCTTGCAGCTATCTCTGTCCCTCTTCAAATGGTTTCCTCTGGTTCTAGATCCCACCTTTCTGTTGGATATTGCATGCATACAATTTAAATAAGAAATAAGTAGAAATGCGATATGTGATGTGTTGCATAATTGGATATTGCATTTGATGTTGTATAAAACATTACAACTAAACTTCTTGGAGCTTCAGCTTCCCTCTAGGGAAGCCAGCCTCTGAGGCAGCTGGAAACCCCCTTCCCTCTCCTGGAGAAGATGAGTTTCTCTGGTGGTCTGCAGGGGGGGAGCCGGTGGGGAGAGCAGCACCTCCTGTACTGCTCTGGTGAAGAACAGTAGAGTCAATGGTGGCTCTTAATGGGAATTGCTGAGTAACATAGAATGTGCGGGATATAAACTTGTGAGGTTGTTTTCTTCCTGTTTACAAATTACTGACAGCTTCTACATGGTTACCTTCCTTCTCCTTCCTCTTCGGCAGACAAACACAAACAGTGCTGCTTGGTGCTTTCCTAATGGTGCCTTCCCAGGCTGAACCTGAGTGTGGCTCTTCACAGCCTTCACTCTGCTCTTTGACAGGCTGGTCCAAGGGGAGAAGGAGCTAAGGGTGACATAGGGAAACTGTGGTAGAGTTGGGCTTCCTGCCCTTAACCCACCTTTCTGCTGTTGGTTTCAGCCTCCAGCAAGCTTGAGATGACTTCTGAGGAAGACCTGGGTGTGCTCCTCCCTGCTGAAGGAACATGGCTATATCTGACAAGGTTGTTTTGAGTTGACAGCTGGCACTGTGTGTAAAGCCATGGTGTCAGGTGTTCTGTGGAAAATGGTCACTTTTTGTTACGGTATTTCAAAATCAGCACCTTTCTGGACATGTTTGGTGAAGACTTTTGTGTTTAAAGTGTGTGTCGTTTCAGTTTGCAGTGAGGGCAGGTGTCAGCCTCATCTCAGGTAGCAAAAAAAAATCCCACTTTTGGTTCTAAAGCTTCACTCTAATTCTGTGTCCCAGATGTGGGGTTATTTTTTTCCAATAAAAAATCTCCTTGGAAAGAGGGGAAATCATAGCGAGGTTTTATTTATTCCTTAAAGCATGACAAGGGAGAGGAACAGAGAAGGAAAAGTCTCATTCCCATCTTCATCACTTTCCCTTTGTTTTTTCCCTGATTTTGTCTGTTTAGACAAAAGACAGCTTTTTTCTACGTGAACAAGACATTGGGCAGTGCTATTCCCAGGGCCGATCCTGGGATGAATTCCTGGCCATGAAACCTGTTTTGGTGAGACAAGTGGAACAGTGGTTTGTGGGTATGGCACAGATGTACTGTGAGAGCCATAGGGCTTGTGTCTGAATCCATGGCTGGCGTCTCTGGGTGCAGAGCACCATTCCCACAGGTTGTCTGAGCAGTCTCGTGAGCAGCTGGGAGGGCACCAAAGAACATCTTACCTTGAAGCAGGATTATTCCCCTCCCTGCGTGTTAGACTTGGCTGGAAAAAGAGGGAGGACAGAAAGGTAAGGATAGGACATGAGCTGAAGGGAAGCGCAGAGCAGGTCCTGGTTTTCCTGTCCTTTCTACAACTTCAGTTGTCTTAGGAGAATGCAAGGTTTTTCCTTCTCGTGGTGCTGTTGTGGTAAACGGCTGCTGTGGGCATCGCTGTCTTTTGCTAGGAATCTGTAAAAGCTTTGCCATCTGCTCCCTCCCCCTTGAAACCGAGCCCCCAGTCCAGACTTCCCACAGATTGCTGATGTGAAAAAAAAGACATAGGAGGTGGAATGGGGAGAGCTTCCTTTATTATTATTAGAAATAGAAAAAACAATGTCTCTAGCCCTTTTTCTGGGGAGAAGTGGCAGTGGTTACCACATGTCCACTACTAGTAGGTTTTGCCTTATCACAAGAATGTACTACCTTGTGTCTTCTAAGGCTTTTCTTCCTTGAAACGTGATGCAAATGTGGATAGAAATGTAGTTGGCAGACAAACTCGCCTTTGTAGCAGGTTTGAGTATCACAGTTTGGATGGCAGGTGATGCTGGGGTGCACATCCTGGGTGCTCGTTCTCATTCGCTGCCCCATGTACGCAGCAGCTCCTGGGGCTGCTGGCACCTCTTCTAACAGTGTAATACCTGCAGAGGTACGAGCAGCATCTCTGTGCACACATGATGCCGTGTTACTCGACAAGTCCCGTGTGCCCACACTGTGTCAGTTGTGCTACACAGGCAGAGGTCTGTCCTGTGGTGCAAATGGCGGCTGAGCTGTCCTGAAGCTCCTTGGCCAGGCTCTGCATGTGCGGCCTGGACCATGCTCCTCTATTTCCACCCAGGAATTCCTGGACAGAAATAAGAGTGTTATTGTTTTCTAAATGCAAATGATGGCACTTAGGCTAGCGCTTCGGGTGCTGCTGTAGGTCTAATACACCTGATGTGAATTTTTGATGCAGGGGAGAAGGGATAAAAACCTTCAAGTTTTGGTGGTTGCTTTTTTGTTTCCTTGCGTTTTGGTTGTTTTGGGGCTTTTGTCTTTGTTTTGGTTTTAATACTTCCTTTTCCCCTTCAGATGTGCTGGGTCATAGAACTCGCAGAATGGTTTGGGTTGGAACGGACCTTAAAGCTCATCCAGTTCTAACCCCCTGCCATGGACAGGCAGGGACAGCTTCCACTAGACCAGGTTGCTCCAAGCCCCATCCAACCTGGCCTTGAACACTGCCAGGGGTGAGGCAGCCACAACTTCCAGATAAATTCGTATTTTCATCTTGACTGGCTCTCTCTGCGCACTTGTGACTGCCTCCTGCAAGTCTAAGATTGTCTCTGTAGAAATAGGAGGATATGGTGAGTTCTGAACAGCAAAAATCCCCCACTTTTAAATCTCAGCCTACATTCAAGTGCAGTGAGTTGTAAATGCTTCCAATTATGCAATGACATTGATTCCTTGTGCCTGGTATCTGGCTGTCTTCACTTCCAGCCTTTGAAAGAGCCGGAAACAGAAAATCAGGCCCTTGTGTTTAAAACCTGAAAGTCTGCACATGCTCAGCCTGTGGGTTAAGCTGGAGCTGCTCAGGCTTGGCTTTATACATCTCACATCTTAATAATGAATTCAGAAGCTTGTCCCAGGCACTCTTGTTTGAGATGTGCATTTCTGGACATGTGGGAAATAGAAGGATTATATAAAAAAAGCCTTTCAACATAACACATCAAATTTTCTCCATTTGAAAATCCAGGTGCAGGAACTGGCTCTTATGGGATTTTTCCCTGAGCTCTGCAGAGTTCCAAGGAATCAATGGTGTTAAAAGAAAAAAAGGGAACAAAAAAAAAAGGTCAAACAGCAGTTTGAATTTTCAAACCGACCTCCCAAACTTGTTGAAGAGCTGGTGTTCCTCGAGGCTTCTGTGGTAGAGGGGCAGCAGGCCCCTGGGCCCGTGGGCCTGGCTGGGCAGGATGCTGTGGTGTGGCTGGCTGGGCAGGGCGCTGCTGGATGACACCAGCTGGGGCAGGACCTGCGCTGCTGGGTGCCAGCTCTGCAGGGGCAGCTTCAACAGGCTTTCAGGGCTGCTGGCAAAGGCAAGAGGGAGAGGTGAAAGGGGGCTGCAGCGTTGCAGGGAGCCCGCAGCCTACCCAGGCGATTCTGAGGCAGGGCAAAGGGGAACCCCGATCCTCTGGTTCAACGCCCCCCTTGAAAAGAGCGTATGCAAGGGTTTCATTGCAGTTAGGTGCTAGGTGGGGAGCGCATAAGAGGGTGAGGCAGGGGAGTGACTGCCCAAGCGATGTGGGCTTTTACATCTGGCCACTCCTGCCTCCAGGGAGACTGGGAGCAGCCCTTGGCCCCCGTGTGAGGAGCTGGGGGGCAGTACCAGCACCAGGGCTGAGCAGTACCTTTGGAAAGCCAGGTTATTGCAGCCTGCCAGTGCCCCTGGGAACACAGAGCTGGAAAGGGCTGAAAGGTGGTAATCGCGCCGGTGGTAGTGTTTCAGTCTCCCAAAAGCCTTCCTTGCCCTATCAGGAGTGGAGTGATCATGTCTCCATCTTCCTCTGGCTTTCCTCCTGTGCTGCTGCTGCCTGCAAGGTGGAGAGAGAGAGATGCAGATGCTTTCTTTACTCATCGGAGGCCGGTTGTTTTCATTTACACCCCCAGGCAGATTTGGCATGTTTGCATCCTAAACCAAAGTTGTTATCCCATGATTTTGACCTCCTTTCTCTGCTCCCAGAGGAAAGCACCAAAACTGCTTCAGCCCTGCAAAAAAAGGGTGCTGGTGCAGACTGGGGAAGAGCAGGACAGTGGGGGGAGGTCTGGCTGGTGCCTGCTGGGAGATTGAGGCGTTGTCTCTTGCAGGGTTTTTTACTCATTGTTCTTTTGCAATTACAATAATGAGTTAGGCTCTCAGTTAAAGCCACATCCCCAGGTAGGCTCCTGCATGGTACCTTTTGCTGCCATCAGTTGTTCAGGACACAATCATTGGCAAAAACAAGGGATCCCCCTGGACCTGAGGGTGGGAAAACAGGGCAGTGCTGCTGCTCTGTGAGAATGGTCCAGGCTGATGGCCCTGCTCCCCACCTGCTTCTCTCCCAGTGCTTCCCAGGGGAGGATGCTCCTTACTTAGAATCATAGAATAGTTAGGGTTGGAAAGGACCTTAAGATCATCAAGTTCCAACGCCCCTGCCATGGGTAGGACCACCTCACACTAAACCATATCACCCAAGACTTTGTCCAACCTGGCCTTGGACACTGCCAGGGATGGAGCATTCACACCTTCCCTGGGCAACCCATTCCAGTGCTTCACCACCCTTACAGTCAAGAACTTCTTCCTTATATCCAATCTAAACTTCCCCTGTTTAAGTTTTAACCCATCACCCCTTGTCCTATCACTATAGTCCCTCCCCAGCATCCCTATATGCCCCCTTCAGATACTGGAAGGCTGCTATGAGGTCTCCACGCAGCCTTCTGTTCTCCAGGCTGAACAGCCCCAACTTTCTCAGCTTGTCTTCATACGGGAGGTGCTCCAGCCCCCTGATCATCCTCGTGGCCCTACTCTAGACTTGTTCCAACAGTTCCATGTCCTTTTTATGTTGAGGACACCAGAACTGTACACAAAATTTCCCCGCCTTGGGCTGTGCACACAACGTGGCAGGGCTGTTCCCACTCACTATCCACTCTGTGTCTGTTCCCTTCCTCTGTTCTGGAGAGCTTTTTGTCGCTCACCAAGCTAACAGCATCCCTTGCAGGACACCTCTCTGCAATCACCCACCACATCCCTCATCCCTTTGGCCACTATCCCTTCCAAGACCCATCTTCCCCATCACTGCCAAACGCGCCATCGCTTTGGAGCCATGACCGTGATAAACTGCGGCTGGTTTCGGACATGACCCCCCCCTGTTGCCCCGCCTCCGTACTCACCCCGCTCGCCTCCTCCTCGCCCTGTCCCGCCAGCAGCAGATGGCGAAGGAGATGGACAGCACCAGGATAACAGCTCCGCTGAGCAGCGATGCGGCCACTGCAGCGCGGGAGCCAGTGCCTGAGGGCTGCAGGGCGGCTGCGGGGAGAGATCAGGATGGGCCCATGGGAGAAGGGCTTAAGCGGGCATTGCGCATCCACCCGCACCGGCCCCGCTCCCCCTTATAATTACACTTCAGGGCATTGTTTTTAGGAAGAAGTGTTTAAAGACAGCTCCATACACACAAAAGTTAATGGGGGGAATCCCCAAAATCACATCGAGTTAGTATTTTCTTTGGGTAATTGAAGTGAAATAGTCACATGGGAGAGAAAATGTGAAATGTTGGATGTAGTTTGGGTGAAGCACGAAGGAAGGAGAAATGAAACACAATGAAAAAGAAATGGTGATAGCCTTGCTGTTGGTTGTTTTTTCTAATGGAATGTGTATTTTTGGTTGTCTATTGCGTGGAGAGGGGGGTAGGGAAAAAGTTGAAAGAGAGAAATAAAATGGAGAAGGGGAAGGGTGTGGAAAAGGGGAAAAAAAGGGGAAAAGGGGAAAAGTGGGGAAAAGAGTAAAAAGAGTGGAAAGGGGAAAAGTAGAAAAGGGAAGAAAAGTGAAGAAAAAAAGGCAAAAAGTTAAAAGGGAACAAAAGTGGAAAATTGGGGGGAAAGCAGGGAAGTATTAAGGAAACATGAGTATTTGACAGAAAAATGGGCTTGTGACGTTTAAAAGAAATGATAAATTGGAAACTTTGGTGAGTGTAATCATAGAATCATAGAAAGGTTTGGGTTGGAAGGGGTCTAGAAGTTCATCCAGTTCCCACCTCCTGCCACAGGGGGACACCTTCCACTAGACCAGGTTGCTCCAAGCCCCATCCAACCTGGCCTTGAGCACTGCTTCTCTGGGCAACCTGTGCCAGAATTTCCTTGGATGGTGTATGGGCCACCCAAGTGTGTGACCCGTACCTGCTGTAAGACCAGTGTTGGAAAGAGCAGATGAATTACATCCTGATCAAACCATAAAGGAAGCCTAAATGGTGTTTGCATTGCCAGTGTCTAAACTTAAGGAAGTGGCTCCCATCCCAAGAGCAAAATAATATGGAAGAGTTCACTAATGTCTGCAAACACTACAGGTTTTGGTTTTCAAAGTAAAAAAATACATGAACAATCCCCAAGCTTACAATCCTTGCAAAATAACCAAACTAAGACATCTGAAACTACAGATTTGCTTTTTGTTTTAAGGAGAAAAAGTGTATAGGGATTTTCCCCTTAAAGCTGTCTTAAAAGCCTTCTATTCTGGGGAACCCAGGGTGTGATTTAACGTTTGGAGGGTTTTTTGGTTCCCCCAAGTTGTTTCTGCATTCAGTAGTGCACAAACTGCAGCCTCTGTTTAGGGCTGAGAAGGCAAATATTGCTGCTGAGCGTTTCGCTGCAGAAGCATCTGTAACTCATTGCAACAAAGTTCATTGCTTTTATTTTGCAATGCTTAGTTTATGAACGACAGACAGTGACTGATTGCGTATCAGCAGGTTTTACAGCTTGGAACTGAGATGAATTGCTTTATTTCTGTTCTCATCTTTAAAGGGCAAGCTGCCTGTTCGAGTGCTTCTGAGCGGAAGCACCTGTGCGGATGTCCCATGGTTGAAGCACTTTGGTTTCTAATTTTGAGATGCTCCCTGTTTAAAATGGATTTGCATGTTTTGAGCAAATGATAGAGATGATATTTCTTGAGCAAGTGAGAGAGAAGCAGCAAAAGGTAGACTTTTTCCATTTCCAACTCTTAGCCAGCTCTTGCACCACAGGTTTGCCTGGCAGCTGTTCCTGAAAGAGTCCCAGGTCTGATTCCCAGCATGAGCAATAAATGCAATTCACGCATAAGCTATGTAGCATTTACAACTGAGGTGTTTTTGCTTGTGCTGCAAAAATACATACCTTTCCTGGGGGCAGTTTTCCTGATGTTATTTAATGTGTGCACACAGTACGCAGTGTGTGAGAGAAAGCTTTTAAAGCAATAAGCTTTGGTCCGTCAACGTTAAGCAGTTTGTTCTCAATGAGCTGGTACCACGACAAATGTGAGGGCCATTTGCAACGGAGATTTGTTCTGCATGTGCTTTCATAAACAGAATGTGCTGGGTTAATTCAAAGTCCAGCTTTCCTCCTGTTGAAAGTTTTAGCTGTGCCCTGTAGTACCCGGAATCAGGTATCAGCTGGTACCAGGTACCAGCTCAGTGCTGCCTGTGCCAGTTACTGGGAATGAGAGGGAGCCTGATCACTTGCTGTGCTGTTGCCTTGGAATTCCCTCTTTGGTAGCCCCTCAGCGTATGCAGCCCATGAAGCGCTGCTGCAGGGACCCTGCTGAATCACAACACATCACCCGTGTTGACAACCACTGAACGGGACAAGCTGGACCTCTGCTGTCCCCTTTCAGGGTGGCAGGAGCACCCCAGCTCCTCCTCCTGCCCTCACTGGCTTGGCCAGAGCGAGGACACCCCTGTGTGAGGTCCTGTGCCTCCCCTCCAGCGTTAGTGATGGGGTGATGATCACATGCACCCCCCTGAGACCCTGTGAGCAGCTCCTTACCCTGACACCGGGGCGGAGGGTGGCTCCAGGAAGAAGCGCTGTCCCGGCGGAGGCAGGACAGCCTCTGGCTGCCCACCAGCTGGTACCCATCCTGGCACCAGTACACAAGCACCGAACCCAGGGAGACACCCGAGCCTCTGTCCACGTAGTAGAATCCATAGTGTGGTGGGATGAGTGCTGCACATGGTGCTGGGGAGAAGGGAGGACGTTAAGTGCAGGTGATGACAAAGCTCCTGCTGGTGATGCTCCTGAAAATGCTTCTGTACCCTGTGTCACTCCTGCAGGTCCTGCAAGTCTCTAATTTATTTATTATGTGTGTGTAATCCTAAAGGAAAGATGTAGGGAAGTCTGGTGGCTTTATCTGGAAAACAAGTCTTCTAGTTGCAAACTCTGCAATGTGAGCAGCTACTGAACAGAAGTGGGACTGGAAAGGTACAGGATGGGGAGAGTGTGTGGGGAGCAACTCTTAGGAGGGAAAGGAAGAGGACAGGCAATTTTTAAATACCCCAGTATTCTGGGAGAATATTGTTGGCTGGAACTCAAAGCAATGAAATACTGCTCTGTGCTGTAGGAAGATACTTTTTCCATCCCAGCCTTTGTTTTTTTCCTAATTTGTTACCCACAGCTATTCGGAGCTACTCAGTTATCCTGCTTGGGTCATCCTTTCTGCACTGCACCCTTTGTATCTTTGGTGCTGTTTGTTTCTCCTAGTATCTGGCAAGAGCCAGGGGTGAGACAGACTCCAAAAGGGATGCCAATCTGACTGTGTGCTTGCAGAAAATCCCTGGATATACTAACACATGCCAAGAAAATGTGGGTGAGTACATTCTCGTGTTAACAGGTATCACAGGTACCAATAACCTGAATTAAAGGAAAATACTCTGATTAGCTCTAGTTAAACTAAGCTTAGGACTTGCAGGCAGAAATGTGCTTTATCTAGCTTAGAGGGAACTTAAGAGGGAAATTCTGAGTGCAGCAGTAAAGCTGATGTGTGAGAGAGGTTTGTTCTGCCTCTGTGTTTGTTGAGTCAATGTAGGCTTCTCTTCCAGAGGGGCTGACAAGAAACAGGCCAGGTTGAGTAACATAAGACTTTCTCTAGGTTAGCAATGCTGTTAACAGGTAGTGGAGATGTCTATATGAGTAAATTCAGCAGTGCCAAGGAGGCTACCCAGATGCCTGGACTGGATCTGTTGCACAGTTAAACTGTCTGACACTGGATAGCACCTTACCCAACAATTCCTTGCTGTTGTTTAAACATAGGGTGGTCCAGGGACTATTCCCAACAAGCATTTTGGAAATTACATGTAATTCATAAAGGTTTAGGAAGGTGAAGGGTTCAGTAGTATGGCATGAGCGGCTCTGTGCCTCTGTCTGCACTGGGCAGGTGGTCATTCCACAGCAGCCCCAGTGCCATGTCCCACTTGCTGGGAAGCAGTGTGGGCTCTGCTCTAGCAAGTGCATTAAGAAAAAAATAATCACCCCAAGCACTTGAGATCATCTGTGCTTCTAAAGAATATCCATCCTCATTTCTACCCAGGGGTCCCAGCTCATCTTTTGGGGACAAGCATGTGTTCAGTGTGCCCATGCCCTGGGCAGGGAGCTGGTCCATCATGATACATATAGAGGTTAACACGGAGGAGGAGTTTACTCTCCAAGGAAGACAGTCGAGTGTTAAATTTTCTCCCTGTGCCCAGCGACTTTTCCTCTGACATGATACACCTCTCACAGACTACAGAAGCTGCTGTGGCCATGGGGACCACACAAAGCCCTGCAGCCCCCTCAGTGTGCCTCCACGCCCACCAGGAGAAGCACCACAATGCCATCATCAACACATCCCCCGCCTTTCACCCTGTCTGCCTGCACAGTGAGGCAGCCTGGCAGAGGGAGAGATGGGCGATCACTCACTCGAGTACCTGAGATGTTGCTGTGCAAGTAGGTCCCGTTGGCAGTGTCTTGGGGCAGCCCCTTTCTGATGTGTCCTGCCCCGGGTGAGGCAGTCCCGGGCCCAGCAGCATCACTCCAGGCGAAGCCCAGGCAGCTCCAGGGCAGCAGGCAAAGGGCGATGCATTTTCTGAGCCTTTGTCCCATCATGATTTGAGGAAATGTAGCATCATCGGGTGCCCCGCAGTCCAGAGTGCCTGCAATTTCCCCTTTGCTTCTGAGCAGGAGCCAGCTGGGCTCTTAGGGCATTAAGCCTTGAGTGGCAAAGCTAGCAGCTGCCTTTCCCCCAGGGCTTGCTTCTTCTCTGTGTCGGCACAAACCCCACATCCCTTCTCCTGGCACTGCCAGCCCTGCTCTGGCTGCTTGGCTGAGAAGCTCTGCAGGAAAACCAGGCATGGGAAGCCGAGTGAGAATCAGCAAGTGCTTGGAATCCGCCTTTTACAGATCCGTCCTGCAGCGACTGGCTTTCACCATCTCCCCGGCTGCTGCAGCTTCAAGCCGGGCACCCTCCTCCTCCTCTATCTGCCAAAATACACATTCAGGCTCGCTGCTGAGACCCTCTCATGCTCACCTTCCCTTCTGCCAGAGCCTAGGGCTGGTTTTCTGTAAACAGCAGTAGGGTGGGATGAAAGCTGTAGGAATCAAAAAGGTTTCATAGCAGCAACTCTGCCAGCTTTGCCACCGTGGGAGCCACAGAGAAATCGGTTTTCTTTTTCCTTGGGGTTCCCTCTGTCCAGCATCTCTCTGCTTGTCTCTTCAGACCCTGATGTTTTATAATGTATTATAGGTAGAGGTGCTGTGGTAGCGACCACCTCTTGCCTCCTGGGCTGTAGACTGCTCTTACCTGCACCTATCTGGCTAGTTCCTGTGTGCACCCAGGAAGAGGCAAGGTGCCCTATGTTGCGCAAGCCTTTGAGACCAAGATGCTTTGGAGCAGGCAGTGCCTCTGTGCTGAAGCCAATGGCCAGTCCACTGCCTGCTTGATGAGCAGTGCTTTGTGGTGGTTCTTGGAGCATCCCCTCCTAAGGCTATCTTCTCCCCTCCTTGCACCCCCTGGAGCTCCCTTCACCCTGTGGGTCTCTTTTACCCCTCTTGAAAAGCCAGAGGCAGCTCAGCAGTGCTTCAGCCCTCCTTGCACTTGCAGAGATGTTTTTTGTCGCTTCCATGGGCCTTTGGACCTGAGAATGCCTTAATTCTCTCTGTCTGTCCGTGTGCCTCTCAGACACTCCCTTTTGGTTTTGGCTGTGCTGGTACCTCTCTGGGCTTCTCTCCAGGGGATTTACTTGTTATCCCAGGAAAACCTGTTTCAACCTTCCGTACAGTCTTGCTCAGAAATTAATTTCTTCTCCTCTCTGGTTAATCCTTCTTAAACAGTGAGATTTCCTTGGCTTCCCTTGGAGAGTGGGCCAAGGAGGGAGGCTCCTCCCCAGCTCTGTGAATATTGCTGTTGTTTTCCCTTCCCCTTCTGACTGCAGGGATTTTGCTGTTTGTGCAGCGAAGGTAAGCTCTGAGGCAGGCTGAGCTGTGTGCGAGTGTGACCCTGACAGCCAAGGAGCTGGCCTTGGGGCATGCCCTGGGTGCAAGTACAGCCATCTCCTGGCAGCGAGGAGCTGGGGTGCAGGCAACCCTATGGGCACTGAGGATCCACCCATCTGGTCACATGGGACCAACCCTGAACTGGCTCCTCTGCTGAGATGAGACTGGTGCCCATATAACTCCTGCTGGGTTTAAGAGCTGGCCTTACCACTGCTGGTGGCTGGAGGACAGTGGGAAGAGCCAAAGGCAGTGCTCTGTCCCCCTCCCCACTGCTGCATGTGTCCCGATGCTAAATAGCTGTGGACCAAGCACGTGCTGCAAGCATGGCCTTCAGCACAGGGCCAGCGGTGGTTAAGTCTTGTCATATGTGCCGGGAAATGAACGGGATCAGCAAAACCCTGGGGACGCAATAACTGTGCTTGAGCTTGTGCTCAAAATGCTGAGTAGATGACATGGATTATTCATTTGCTAATGCTCTTAAGAGATTTTCTTGGGGCTGAGGGAGACAAAGGGGCTTATTATTGCAAAATCAATATCCTGCCAGGGTGAGATTTCAGCTCTGTTTCCTGCTCCCTGCTTTCTGGTGGTGGCTGTCTGTGCGGACCTGGGGAGCCGGGCACCGAGCTGTGTGTGCAAGGAGTGACCATGGGCTCAGGAAAGAAGCAGTCCATATCCCAGCTCAACAAGGCCTTTCCTTGCAGGGAAGGCAAGGAGGAAGGGGTAGCTAGCAGGGGAGTTGGTGTGCCCAAGGGGCTGGAGCTGTTCCAGCTCCCAGATCTTGGCTGGCGGCTTCCACTTCCCCAGCACATCACCTGTGGGTACCTTGTCCCCACCCCTGTGCTCTGCTTCCCCTCATGCTGGTGTGCCTGGCCAGAGAAGGCAGTATCCCCCTTCCTCTGGCACAGGCAGCCAAACAGAGGTGTATGGACATAAACATGGGACCATGGCACTATCAAGATTCCTGTTAAACCCCTTGTAGATGTTTTTTTCCATCCTGGCCAGGCCTACACCCTCATACCATTCTCCTGGTTTTGGCACAGCCCGTGTCAGCTCTGCAGTTTTGTGCAGCTTTGACACCAAAAACACAAGCCCCAAAGAACAAGCCCTTTTCTTGCCTCGCGTGATGTGAGGCTGTCTGCAGGAGAGTCCCTGGAGGAGCACAGATAGTTGAGGTGCAAGGGTAATCAGAGAAGGCTACATGGCATTCTGCCTTGTGGGATTTGGATCACAGTGTGCCCCATGGTTTGGCATGTGGAGGGGCTGGGCACTGTGGGCAGGATCAGCCCTGCATGGAGAAGCACTCATTCCCTGGGACTGATATGGTCACCTGGCAGCAGTGGGACCCAGGACCTGTACTCGGGGGGGGGGGGCTGTGGTGAGATTGGATGAGCAGACAAGAGGAAAGAAGAAGGGACTGGGTCAGGGGACACTTGCTGGGAGAGCTGGGTGACTGCAGGAGTCTTGCCAGAAAAGAGCTGGGGAAGCTTTATTCTGCAGCCACTTGCTGCTGTTGCATACATGGGGAGCTGCCAACCAGAATGTAGATGTATGCCTCAGTGCCTCATCTGCCTTTTGTATCTCAGGTCCTTTGGAGGAGTAAAGGCAACTGAGAGATGGGGGGGGGGGGGGTAGGTGAAGTACATGGGTAATTCTCCATCCAGAACTCTGTACTCGGCTTCTTTCTGTGCTGTAGAGATCCTGGTAAAAAAACAGAAAGCAAGTATCCCTGACGGTTTAAGGGCATTTACTTTGGTCATGTTTATTCCCTTGTTGCATTTTAATCAAACAGTCTTGCAGGCAGACTTTGTTGTATACCTCAAGTCCATTGTACTGTGTTGCATTGGTTGCATTTAAATAAGGAGATCCTGTCTCTCATGGGAAGTAGTGTTTGCACAGGCCAAGACTAAAAGCATGGGGCTCACCTAGGTCCGCTCGTGAGCAGTGCAGAACTCTGCAGAAGCCAAATCTCTGCTATTGAATGTGCAAGTACTAATTTCAAGTCAGTGACCACAGATGATCCTCTCTACTTGCATAAGGTTCTGCAGACAGAAGGACATAGAGTTACTGCCTAAATTACTCATTGCAAGTCACTTGCTTAGCTCTCTTGCTAGTCCATCCTTCATGCAAGGCAACCAGGGCTAGCTCTGTGGAAACGAATCACTCTCCAGAAAGCTGATTCCAGGGTGTTTAGGTGCAAGGTCTTTGTGTCATGCTGTTTCTATACCACATACATACACACTACACAGTTCTGAGTTGCCTCTAAACCCACCTTTCCGCAGCTCCAGTAACTGAGGCTCAGTGCCACAGCTTTGCAGGAGCACTGCGGATGGACCTGACCTCCCAGCAAAGGCCTTGATGTGACTCACCGAGTCTGCACCTCCCTGGGTTATGTGTGCACAGCCCCCATGAAGGAACTCCTCTCACTCAACTTTAGAAATCTCCATCTGTGCCGGTCACTCTTGGTTGTTTCATCGCAAGAATAAGGACTTGCTTTATCCAGCCCATGTGGGACTCCTATTTCAAGATGCACTGGAATTTTTAAGAGGTGCCCCCTGACTGCAAAGGCAGCTCGTGTAGCAGTGCCTGCCCTGCAGATGGGTGAAGTTGCTGGGAGGACCCTCAGACACCGAACTTGCCTGTACCCACTGGCAGCGGATGAATCTGCCAGCATGTGCAGATTTGTCACTATGCAGATTTCGGGGGGGGCTGCGCTTGGCAGGCCCTTGCCACACTTACATCAACCAGTAGGGCCTTGGAAGTTTGGTGTGCTGGTGTCATTCCAGCTGCGATTAGGTGGGGACATCTAAGGAGTGCAAGAAGCTCCGTGGTCATGGAGGCATGACCAGGGACAGTTCAGGTTTGCATCTCAGGGTGGCATTGTAAGCTGATCCAGTGTGAAAGACACCCTTAAAAAGGCTTTGAGTTTCAGCATAAGAGAGAAAATGACCCCGAAAGGAGAGTCAGGATACAGATGGACCAGGCTCCCCTTGTGGTTACAGGAGACTTGGGATCGAGTCTGAAGATTTTTACTTGGCCGCCCATGTCCCCAGCCTTTTCCATGATTAGCTGCTATTCACACTTCGTTGGTTGCTTCTGCCCCCAGGGGCATAAACTGGGACAGCCTCTACTGACAGGAGCTGGCTACATAGCTTGACTGATAGCAGGAGATAGGCCAGACACAGGAGTCTAAAGAGAATCTGTACTGGGTATATGTGTGTGTATGTTTTCTTTCCTAACACATCGTGAATGACTTGGGCAGGTGGATACCTGCCCATTTATTCCTAAAAGCCATTCATACAATGATTAGGCTGTCATAAATAACCAGTAAATGACAGTATTACCACTTATGCATGCGTTCTGCTAACTGAATAATTCCTTCTCCTGAAAAATCTCATAGTTTGGTTATTTATTGCTAATGATATACACATGCATATGATGTACACATGCATATGACGTACACATACATTTGCGTGCACCCAGAGACTTCCTACTTGCTTTGCTTGTTTCCAAAGGCAGGATATTCCAGGCACAGGCATTTCACATGGACTCCAGAAACTTCTACTTTGACATGTACATTGTGCTATTTCATAACCTCCTTCTAGATTCCAGATTACAGCATTAACCTTTTGTTGGCCACAGGCTGGTGCTGTTGAACTCTTCATTCCTAACAGGCGTACTCTGATGTCCAGGCTTTTGGATATGTAGGACTTATTTCCTGTGTTTTTCATGAAAACCCGCAGTCTCTTGGTACTCTTAAAGTGGATTTTTTGCACCACAGACTTTCTCAGAATGGAAAAATTACTTTTACCCAGCTTTTTTGAGGAAAGGGATTATCATTATTACTGGCTTCTTTTTGGTTTGTGTTTTTTTAGTTTGTTGATTCGGTTTGTATTCTTATCTTCCTGTTCACTTAATGCTCTGGGCAGTTGCACATGCCTTGCTAGATGACACAGGCATTGCTATGCACTTTCACCTTCGGGTTACACAAGTTTATACAACCAAAGAGAAGAAACCCTCATTATTGAATGATTAGGTCTCATCTGAAAATAAGGGCATGGCAGGTGTGAGGAGTCACTGAATGGGTGCTGGCCTGAAATTAGGAGGTGCAGAACTTTTTTGAAGGGTGGTCTCATAAAAGTCTACTGGGAAGACAGACTAGCCCCAGAGGAATGTTGAGGGTGGTTTGGTGATTCATGCAGTGGAGTAGCATCAGTGGAAGATACCAGAATATCAGACAGACTCAGGTGACTGCTTGGAGAACTGCACTGTATCCATCCAGAAATGCAAACAAGAATGTACCTTCAAAAAAGGAATGGAAAAATTCAGTACTCCTTTCCTTTGAGCCTTGCAATGGTGCATCCATACTGGTATTGCCATCCTCACTAGTATTGCTTAATGGACACTGCCAGTATATACAATCAAACAGTAAATATACAATGAAACACAACCAGACAGTGCATTGGATAGCAAAAGATTAGCAAGTTTGGACAACAGGGTGGGGTGGTTGTGCTGCTCCCTCTGTGCTGGGAATTGGTAGAGTTGAAGGTGAAAGTTGTAGTTTGACCAGGAAAAGAGTTCTTATTTAGAGCTTGCAGGAAAAAAAAAAGTGGCCTTGTGCCAAGATCAGTGCAGCTGGAAATGCACTTCCTACAGTTAAAAATACAGGGAGATTCCTATATAATGGGACTTCAGAGAGGAGATCTGGCAAAACGGTGAACATCTATTCATTTTGATGCCTTAAAAGTTAGCTGCCCAGCAGCTCTTCGCTTCGCTGATGGTGTTTAGGGCGAGGTTGTCTCATCCTATAATGTAGTCCTGGTCTGACATCTGAGAATACCAAAGCTCTACAGGAAAAACAGGGACCAGAGTTTATTTCAGTTACACCACTTCCTACGTGGAAATCAGGAGATGTTCCCAAAGGGCGGTCACTGCGTGTAGGCGATAGCATGCCTCTCTCCACAGGAGCTCTCTGCAGCTGGTCTGGGAAGTTTACTGCCTCAGGAAGCCAACAAATTAAACAGATACTTAATCTGAAGAGGGCTGGGCTGGGGTGGCCAGAAGAGCTTGATGGAATATTAACACCATTTGCTACTTACTGAGAGCAGGGTAACTGTGCTTTGAGCCATGGATGATCACCATTCAGCTAGGAACCTTAGCTGAGTGGAGATAATCGTATGACCTGAAGTATTCCTTTTACAATCTTACTACTTTTTTACCTCCCTGGTGTCATGTTCTGATGATGTGATTATTGGTTGCTGGGTTAAATAGGTTCCCAGTAAAATCCCGATTCTTTTCATATGGTAATAGGATTATCATACAAGATGAAGGTATTTGCACCTAAGACAAAATACACAGTAGTTTACATGCAGAATAAGTGCAACCATCTAGAAACTGCATTTTCTAAAGATCAGCACAAAGCTCTTGAAACAGGCCCAACCCAAACGGAAAATACAAGGTGCTGTTGAATCAATAATGAAGCAACAAGTTTCAAGGCTGTGCCAGGAAAACAGGGAAATGTCTCTCCCTTCACATCCTTACCTATGGAGGAAGATTTTTTTCTGCCATCAGTTACTGATTCACTCAGTCCAGGGAAGGGCTGCTTTCCAGTTTGGTTTGAATGCCGGTCCTCTAATCAGCTGGAGAAAAGGAGTCGCTTATATAAGCCAAAGGAAAGGAAATGCTTCTGTGATACAGATCACATGAAGAGCTAGGACTGAGCACTGGTTGTCTCCCGAAGTCCAGTTTCTGCACCTTCTCACCCTGTTTCTTTAGGGCTGAGCTGACTGGGAGAAGTGGCAATTTAGGAGGCTTTCCTTTTCTTACTAGTCTTTCTTTTTCAAGGCAGTTGGTGAAGGCAAGTGGAAGACATGACCCCCTCCTCAGACAAAGAGCTCAACGGGCTAGACAACCCCAGCTTCATGGTGAGTTTGCTTATCTCTGACGGGTAATTCTTGCATTCACAGGTATGAGACCTGCAAAAGGAGGAGAAAGGAAAAGCCAGGGGCTTTTCTGACTGGCTGCAAAGATGCTGATGTATTGTAAACCTCTGTCTCAACTCCTTTATCAACAGGAATCGAAGGAATGATTTCCCCACTACAGCCTGCTGCTGTGGACTCAGCATAGTGCCTGCCCTATAGTGCTTTTTAAGCTTTTTTTTTCTTTCTTATTTCTGAAATGGTATCCTAGATGAATGGCAACACACTTGTATCTGTACTGAAAAGCAAGGGGGCTTGTGGCACCTTGTGGCTGTGTCCCTGGGGAGAGCACTTTGCATAATAATTAGTGAAATTGCAATAGAAATTTAGCCTAGTGAAGAATGTGTTTATTTTCTGTGTGTCTTCTGCCTATTTCTAATGGGATGAATTGTCAGAGGGATGGGTGAAAAAGGGATTTGGGAGTCACTGGGAGAAAGCATGCTGTAGAATTACAGCAGGGTAGTAAATGCTGTAAATGATGTGTCAGTTCAGGGGCATGCAGTGCCCTGGAAATGCTGCAGGCTATTACAGCCATAGGGCAAGGGCCTGAGGCACAGCAGCCCCCTCCCTTCCTATCCCACAGCAGAGGTCATCTCCATTAGAATTTGAAAGAGCTGCCTATGTTCTGACAGCAGGTGTGAAGGAGTGAGGTCCTGCAACCATCTTCCTACCTTGGTACAGAGCACCCATCTTGGAGGACCTTGGAGGAGGCATTTAACTTCCCGGTGTGCAAAGTGCCCCATTTCTTGGCTAGCTCTTGCTGAGCTTGCTGTAGCAGTGGAGGTGGGAGTGCTCTGGCAGCTCTGGGCAGAGCCTCTGGGAGGTGCTCAGGGAAAGTAAGAGGTCTTCTTTTGGTACTGGTAACAGGGTTTCTGTTTCTACCTGTTCTGATGTAATACAGATAAGGATCGTGACTCCCTCTGGTTTGAATCACCCCAGAGAAGGTAGAAGACAGAGGTCTTTAACCTGTGGTTCAAGCAGTTCAGTATCTGACTGCCTTACGGATGTGCTTATTTAAGATGCTGTTGAGGGCCCTTATGCTATGACTGGAGCCTGAGATACATGGAGGTGTCCTGGTCCCCTGGGTTGATGGGAGTATCTGGGCTGAAAACCACCAGCAGCAGTTCCTCTTCTCTGCTCCAGAATGCTCCTGTCTTGTCCTTCTCCAGCATCTCAGCATCACAGACTGGCTGAGGTTGGAAGGGATCTCTGGAGGTCAGCTCTTTCAACCCCTTTGCTCAAGCAGGGCTATCTAGAGCCAGTTGCCCAGGACTGTGTCTAGACAGTTAAATATCTGTAAGGATAAAGAATCCACAACCTCTCTGAGCAACCTATGCAGTACTTGGTCACCCTCACAGTGAAAAAGTATTTCCTCATGTTAAGATAGGACCTCCTGTGTTTCATTTTGAGCCCGTTGCCTCCAGTCCTGTCTGATCCTGTTATCTCCACTCCATCCGTCTCCCACTGAACCCTGCTCACTCTCTCCCTTTCAGCTCCTGGGGTGATTCAGGCCTTCATGTGGTGATCATGTGGGGCTACTACTGGCACAGGCTCTGCCTCTCTGGAGTATGCCTCCTGGTTAACATGGGAAAAGTTGCAATGCAAGGAAAGGAGCTTACTGCTGTCTGCCTAGCTTAGGATTCATCTACCCATGGTGTTATTCAGGAGTAGCTGTCCCCAGATGACTCCATGCATGGGCAGCCTGAAGTACCTTGTTGTACATTTGTTAATCCATGGTTCAGGCTCTCCTGTTCTGAAGTGAAAATGTCTCCACAGGGAGTTATTCAGGAATGCCTCTTGCTCTCGAAGTTCATGCCTGAGTTCAGTTTGAATTAACTCTGCCGTCACCTATCTATTTTGAAGTACCTATAATGCTCCCAGCCTACCTAGGCTGGATATATACAAAGGTAATATAAATAAATAAAAGGTATTACATAGCGTTATTTCAACAGCCTGGTCTAAAATGGGACTTTGGAGACTCAGCTATGAGAATGGAAACCTGGAATACTCAGGCAAATGATAAAGTCCTTAAGGATTAATCTGCCCCACCTGCAATATTTATGACAGAATGTAGCATTAATTTTACATCCCTATTCCCTGACCTTATCGTTAGCTGTTTGCCCCTACTGGTAGGCAGGCCATGAACATTACTGCAGCTACCTTGCTTTGCTGAGCATTTCAGTGTCTTCAGCTTCCAGCAGGACTTGGATGATAAAAAAACCCCAGAAGTCTGATGCTGACAAACTGGTTGAGCTTCTCTTGACAACAGGTTTCTGTCCCTGACTGAGCAGGGCATCCCAGCCCAGAAAAACCCTCTGCTGCCAGGGTGCCGAGGACTCACTGGCTGGAGAAGGGTTGGTGAAACAAATGGCTTGGGATCTGAATTAGCTTTTGCATTTGGCTCAAAACATGGTGGCTTCCCAGTCAGCCTCCTTCCATTACGTGCGTGTGTGCAGGGATGTGCATGTCTCTGTGTGTGCACATGGGGTGTCCATGTGCACAGGCAACGTGTGTGTGTGCATGTGTATGCACAGGGGTCAGGGTGGGTTGGGAGGAGTGGACAACTAGGGGCATTTACATAGCTTAAAAGCTGTGGCAACTGAAGCAAAGCAGTATTTTGCTTTCCTTGGCAAAAAACATGTCTTTGTATAAATAAACTGTACAGGGCGTACAGCTCTCTGGGGAGCCCTGGGGCTTCTGGGAGGAGGTTCAAGTCTTCCTGGGGAGCTATTTCAGACCCTGCCACTTCCCTGAGGCTCCAGGTCCCCATGCTGCTTCCTGGTCCCCAATGCTGCTCCTGCCCTGGGTCATCCTTCTGAGTGCCATTCCCCACAGCATGTGGTTGAGCTGGGGCAGCACCCCAGTAGCCCTGCTTTCAGCCAGCTCCTTTGAACTGGGCACCAGTACTCCTCATCCACTGGTGTCCCTGTGTTTTACCGGGTTCCTCTGTAGGGGTGAGGTTTCCTAGTAGACAAAGGGCAGTTGTGTTCATCGAGGCAGAACATTTGTAAGGGTGAGTGTAAGGAGGTTGGAAAGAGAAGACTTAAGAAGAAATGAAATGTAAAACATGCTTCTACTCTGTATTAGTTGTGACCAAGTTGCTTTACCATACTTTATCAAAAGGCACTGTTTGGGTGGGACAGCCAGGATGGGCAGAACCTATGGGACAGTGCAGCTTTCACTGATTAACCCATTCCACACTCTTCCTTGCTTCTGATTGCAGTTTCTCCATCCTTAGCTAGATGTTAATGATTCCAGCGCACTTTCTCCAGTTGTCCCTCCAAGGCTGAGACACCCTCTAATGTTTCTTCTGGTCTGAACAGACATGTGCATATAAAAATTTTCCATACGTGTTTGTAACTCTCTTTTAATTTCCCCCTTTGCTCTTCCTTTTGATCCTGGCATTGTTGAAAGCTACATATGAGACATTCCTGCAAGACATGGAGCATGGCCACAAGAGAGGTGGCTGCTGGGTGCCTGCAAGGACAGGCTGTGGCTAATGAAGGGTTTCTCCTATTGTCCAGGGTGAAGATGGGAAGCACTACTGCTCCTCACTGGATCGTGCTGCCCGGGGCCCAGAGGAAGGCAGGGACATGGGCCATGGTGGCATCAAGCTTGCCTACACTGTCATGGATGTGCCCCCCTGGTACCTCTGCATCCTGCTGGGCATTCAGGTGTGATGGGGGGGCAGGGGGAGGCTGGGACTGGATAAGAGTTTAATGGCTCTTCAGCTGGTTGTTTATGAGGGTGAAACCTGAATTTGGAAGTGCTTTACCATCACGGGGCATGGCTGGAGCTTTGAGGCTGGATCTTGTGAGCTCAAGTCCCTTCTCCTTACAGTGCTCCTGTAAGAACTGATAACTAAGGTTAATATTTAAAGCAAAAATAACTTTAAAACATAATTTCCAGTAATTAACTGAAGGTCATTGTAAAAATATGTCTGTGACTCTTCTGAAAAACGCAATGCCTGATTTTTCCATTTTTTGGCATTCGTTTTTCATGGTTATCCGTAACTGCACTGGGTGAGAAAAGCAAAGAATTGGTAGGACCAATTCGCCAACTTCTTATGTCATCCTTTGTGGTGCAAATGAGATGGGCTGAAACATTTGCATTCACTTTGCCTGATCTCTCTCTCCCTCTACCTTGGGATGTCCCCATCTTCCTGTAAGAGAGCCACAGACAGCTTTGTCTGCAGGTGCTCTGGATAAACTGGTTGTGCCTGACAGTAGTCTGTGGAGTCCAGAGCACTGCAAAAGCTCTTTGGGCACGGAAAGAGGGAGAAGTTTGTGGGGGTGTATTGCAGTTCTTGTAGGTGCTTTGGAACAGCACCTAACAGAGCATTCAAGTTGCCAGAAAAAGAAAATGGGCAGTACTAGTATATCCCAAACACAAATCTGTGCACTATTAGATTTCTCTCAACACCACAGTGTTAATATACAGCCAGTTGTGTGTCCTTTTTCACCCAGTCTTTCTCTATGGCTCCTAGCATTTCCTGACAGCCCTGGGAGGTCTCATAGCCATCCCGCTGATCCTCTCCAAAGAGCTTTGCCTCCAGCATGACCTCCTCACCCAGAGCCACCTGATCAGCACCATCTTCTTTGTCTCAGGGATTTGCACCCTGCTGCAGGTCCTCTTTGGAGTCAGGTAGGCCAAATGCAAGGAATGGGATACATGGCAGAATGGCTTGTAGATGCAGAGTTTTTGTAGAATGCCTGTGTAATTACTGCATGCACAGCACCAGCTTGGTTTAGGGTGAGGGTCATTTTGTACTCCTGGGCAATCAGGGCACATACCAAAGCATCCTGAAATCGCTGTACATTAATAGCTATTCACTTTTCTGACTTTTACATCTCCTGGTACTTCGTGCACCTTTTGTTGGGTTTATACAATTCTCTCGTGTAAAAAATAAAGTACTGACACATGCAGTAAACAGTATCTGCTTGCTTCTTACGCCAGGGATCCTCCAGCTGAGGCAGGACTCTTCTGATCTGGGCCTGGGATCAAGATCACAGATCCCACAGGAAACTGTAGGGAAAAGGCTAACTGGGAGAAAACTGGTTAAAACTCTTCTACCATCAAATCACTGGTCAACTGCCAGCTCCACATGTTTTTATTCCTCCTGTTTCTTCCCCCATCTCTGTCTGTCTTAAGAAGTCGCTGTGGGCAGACTTCTACCCAGAGGGTGCTCTGCTTCTCCTACATTGCTAAAGGACTAGTGGAGGAGGACGGACATCCTGGCCATGAAAAAGAGAGAATCTGGTTCTTCACAGTTGTGTTAAAGTCAGGCTGGGGTACATGACCATGGCTGTGGCTGCTGGTGCGATTCAGGCTGAAGTCCTCCCAGGCACCCCCAGATGCCTCAGTGAATACCTGAGAGCTGCGATGTCCTCTGCTTGCTGTTAGCTGAGGATGAAGGAGTAACAGGGATCCTTTCCTGTAGCTGAGTGGCTAAATGAGGAACAGCAGATCCACTTAAGTGGTAAGGAGCTGTTCCCATAGAATAAGCTTGAATGGCTTTTGCTGTGCTGAGGATGCAATTGCCGTGTTGCTAGCCCCAAGTGTAAGGCGTGAGGGCATTCCTGATGGGAAGGTGGGATTCAGCCTGCAGTTTGGCTGGAGGCAAACCAAGCCTGAGGAGGCAGTGAGAAGCAGATTTCTTTTTTTTTCTCCTTTTTCTGTTTTCTGAAACCCCGCAGTAGTTGTTGGCAACCATAAGTCACCAACAAGACAGCCAGAAAAATGGTGAATAATGAGCTGGAGGAGAGGCTTTTTACTGGAAAATACCCATGCCACTCTCTGAGGCTCTGGGGAGCCCGCAGCTGAGTGCTCTGCCCAGTTGTCAGTGCCCACATTTAAAAAAAGACTAATTCAGAGGATAGGAGGTAAGGAGATGGTCTCTTATTGTGGCATGGGAGGCTGTTTGTGTTACAGAGGCTGGCCTGGTTAGCGTGGTGAAGGGGTGGCTCAGAGGGGTACAGCTGCTGCCTGCTACTAGTGTGGGAGAGAAATGGGGGTCATTGGGCAGGGACAAACCATTCTGGCTAAAAGACATTGTTGGCACATGAATGAATGGATGGGAACTGGCCACGAAGATGAGGAGGTTCCCACCAAGACCAAGCATGGCTCAGAAGCAGCCCTCCAGAAGCAATAGCCAAGGAAAAAGCCTGACTTGCTGCAACCTGCAGCTCAGTCATGTTACACAGCATGAAAAAGCAGTGATGGGTCACAGACAGTAACTGGAGATACTATTCAAGAGGGTCCTGAGGGAAGACATATGTCACTTGCAATTATGGCGAGCCCCCCTTAGCAGATTCTTGGACATCATGTAGTGATTATCAGATCACATTTCCTTCCCTAAACCTGCATCTTTTCCTCTTGCAAACCTCATGGGAAAGAGCTTAGTGTGCCCTGTTTGCCTTGCTTTGGCACCCCAGTTTCCTCTGAGCACAACCATTGCCAGCACTGTCTGTGAAATAGCTTGAGGGCCAACGCAGCGGGAGCTATAAATCTATTGTTAATTCAACAGTGGCAGCACTGGGCCTTCTCTGTTTCCTTTTGTTTGACTTTTTGCCTTCCCAAGCAAAATCCTTTGAAGGCTGCAACATATTTGGCCAAATGCCATAAATAAGTAACTCCACAGATGACTGATATTCAAATACCACTTACTGGCAATGCTTTGACAGTGCTTCGATTGTGCATGGGATGAGTAATTGCAGTGGTATAAATATTTGCTTTAGGTGATGGAGACATGATGCTGTTACAGCTATGCCAGCTCCTATTTTCCAGTGCTTTTCAGAGAATGGTCGAAATGCTTCTGTTTCAGGGGAATCCATGCCGTGCACTCACCTGGCTTTCTGCCCTGCTGCTTTTCTGAGCAGGAGCCATGAGACCTCCCGGTGCAAGGAGGGGTTGCTCTGGGGACTGCTTCCTTCCTAAACAGAGGGAGCAGAAGCACCTCAAAAGTTTCCTTTGACTGGTTCAGAGCTGCTGTGCCAGCCTACACCCTCAGGCAGCTTTGGCTTTTCCAAGCGTGCTAGAGAAAAGCCAGAACAACTTGCACTGAGATGAGGACTTAATGCCTGTGGGAGTCTGAAGAACCAGTCAGACCTTTTAGGTCTCTTTCTCCATTTCTCCATGCATGGAAAGAGGCTGGCGTAGCTCACAGGAGCATTGGCTCTGCAGTAAAAGCCAGTGTTGAGAGCCTCTGGACGTGCAAGTTCTTTGCTAGCCTGAGGGATTTGCAGAGTGAGGGTTACTCTAAGCCAGGAGGCACACGTGGTGTGGGGAAAGCCAAGGTCTCACCCAACCAGCATGCTCAGACTCATCCATGCAGGTTTCCTTGGCAGTGTCAGTGGAAACGAGGCAGAGGAATTAGCTTTCAAACCCAGTGTACTAAAAGCCAGGTCACATTTTCTACCGCCCTCAGGTTGTGATGCTGGAAGTAGCCAGTGCATGTCCTTGTGTTCATGAGCAGGTTGTGAAGAAAACTGAGACAGCTGAAGGGGACGGAGGAAGAAGCTAGGAATTAGCAAGATTTGGGCTTAGATCAATGCTGAGCTCACCATCTTCAGAGCCTCACCATCTTCCTTTTCCCCTCCTCCAGCTTTTTACTTTTGTTGTTGTTCTACTCTGTGCAGCTCCACGGTCTCATCTTACCTTAACAGGGCTACTTTTTCGTTAATGCAGGGCAGCAGAGTTTGACTACAGCACTGATGTGCCCCTCCATCACTAACCCTGAGCTCTAACCCCCCAGGTCATTGCTCTTGATGGCAGCAATTCCCACCCATGGTCAGTGATAGAGAACTGCCAGAGTATTTCAAAATACACTGCCAGAGGCCATGGGCGGACTGCTTTTTTAGGTTATTCTGCTTTCTCTGTCCCCTAGGGAGCTGGGTTTCTTGCATTCTCACTCATCATCTTTTGCCTCTGCTCTCCTTCCAGGTTGCCTATTATTCAAGGAGGAACTTTTGCATTCCTGACCCCCACCCTGGCCATGCTGTCTCTCCCCAAGTGGAAGTGCCCTTCTTGGACACAGAATGCCAGCCTGGTGAATGCCTCTTCACCAGAGTTCATTGAAGTCTGGCAGACGCGGATGCGAGAAGTACATTACGTTTTCAGTGTCACCTACTCTGTATCAGGGCTGTTTGCTTTCAGAAAAGTGCCTGACCATGTCAGGGCCATCACTTCTGGAGATCCCTCTATCCCTGGTACACACTGGCCCTTCACCCAGTTGCAGCTTCCTAAGTGTCTATTGCCTCGCTAAAAAGCAGGTGCTTCACTGCTGCTAAACAGGGGGACCTACAGGCCTCAGATGATTGATTTATGATGCCTGCAAAGTCTCCAGTGGTCCAGACAGATCCATTCTCCATGAAGCATGGTTAGCCTTGAGGAAGAAAAGAAGGCAAGATGCTTCCAAGGAAGGGACCCTGTCTAAGCATGGAAAATAGTAAAAAGAAATGCAGAACTTACTGTAAATATTAAGGAGAAGTGTATCCTTAAGTAGTCAGAAAAGATAAGGAAGGGTCAGGGATCTCACTGCCTCATTCTGTGTCTGTTGCCTTATGAGCCTAAGTGACTAAATTTGCTTCTGTTGATCCATTCACTGGGTGCTTTGCAAAGCTCTTGGGAAGCATTCAGAGCTCCAAAGGACCTTTACCCCAGCCCCTGTGTTCCTCTTCAACTTGAAGGCAGGGGAGGGAAGTGCTCAGCACCACAGAGAACCCAGCCTGGCTTTATCACCAAATCTGTGAAGGCAGGGAGCAGCCTCACCCCTCTGTCCCCTGCATGGAGCTGATGTGTACAAGCAGCATTTCAGGAAGTAATTGCTGGCTACTTAGCAGTGACTGTCAAACATGGGAAAGTTCAGGGTGATGAATGTGTCCCCTGAGGGAAACTGATACTCAGAACAAAACAGAGGCCATAAAGATCCACCTGCCCTACCAGGGTGCTGAAGTGCCTGAAGCCCTTCCCAGATGGGAGATGAGTGGAGATTATGGCCCTGCTCCTGTTTTCAGGGCAAGAGCTTTTCCCTTGTGTTTTGGGGGAACTGGGAGAAACTGTGTAGGGAAGCTGATGCATGCTTGCTTGGCCCAGGAGGACAGAGAGAAGGGAGTCCCTGGCACAAAATGAGTCCTGGAGAGGACTAAATCCATCAGCCGAGAGGGAGTTGGTGTGCTGGTACTTTGGGGGTCCTTTCCCACACATGATGCTCAGCCAGGCTTTGCTGTAGTCAGTGGGAGGCCTCTGAGCCTGGCTCTCACACTGGATTTGTGTGATGCAGCTGGAGCCCCTTTCAGCCTCTGCTCTCTCCCTCCCTTTTATTCCAGTTGCAAGGAGCTATCATTGTAGCTTCCTGCTTCCAAATCTTCGTTGGATTTTCTGGCCTGATTGGATTCCTGATGAGGTTCATCGGCCCCCTGACAATCGCGCCCACCATCACCTTGGTTGCACTTCCTCTCTTTGAGTCGGCTGGCGACGAGGCTGGGCAGCACTGGGGCATAGCGTTCATGTAAGTCTGACTTCCCCATGCACAAGCTGAGCGCACACAAACCGCTTACCTCTAATGTGAAACCAAATGTCACAGTCTAGCAGGGTTCCTCTGGGTTCAAGGATTATTCACTGAGCACTAACACACAGTGGCCTTGTGCAAGGCAGCACCGTGGGAAAGCAGTGGAATCTAGCAGGAGGTTGGAGCCCTCAGCAACAAAGCAAACCCTAAAAATGAGTTAAAAAATCTGGTTTTTTTGTGACAACCCAAAGTTTCTTCATAGGTCATTAGAGAAACAAGCCTTTCCAGGGGGCAGCCTCTGGCACAGTTGTTTGCGCACACTGTTTAAAACCCCCATTTTTTAAGTTAAAAATGCATTCCTAAAATGACAAAGTTGAGCACCCAGAGTTAGGTATTCCTCGAGTTAAAATAGCTTTTTGCATTGGTTTCACATGTCCAGGAGGAATCATTTTCTTCACAGGGTGCTCCAGAAATGTCTGCCCATGTGGCTTTGTGGCAGTGAGTGCTCTCTCAGGGGTATTTGTGTGCGTGCCATTGGGCATCAGTGTACAAGTGTGCTTGGTGGCAGAATTCCCATGGTATTTCAGGAATTAATTTAAGAAGTAGAAATCCCACTGCACGGTTCCCCTGAAGATTCGGTACTTTCAGATCCCTAATGCAGATCTGGTACCTTCAGATCCCTAATGCAGACTTCAGCTTGAGATAACATGCAGCAGGAGTAGGTCATTACCCTCCCTATGGCCTCCCATCAGTTTGTGAGCACTTTCAGATCTGCCTTTGGGACTCAAGGGGCAGGCTTGACTGCAGCCCCACAAGGCAGCTTGCTGGTCTGGGGACCTGCTCCAGTCCACTTCCCTCTCCTTCTTTTCTCCCTGAACTTGCCCTCCCAGACCCCAAAACCACCTCCCTTCTCCACCCCCAGTTCCTCACTTAACTGCTGTCTTCCACCAGCACCCTGTACAATCCCAAACCCTGTCTCCAACACAACCCTGCCTCCAGGCCTATTTCCCTGCTCTCAGCCTAGGTCACCCTTTCTGTCTGGTTCATTTCTGTCCCATCTTCTACCTGTGCCAGTCCTAGTCCTGACTTTCCTGGCTCAGGTGCCTTAGCTCCAGCTTGATCATTACGCTCTGAACCATCTCTGTGCCCTGTTTTGCTGCCTTCTCCATGCTCCATGGGTGTCATTAGGGAAAGAGGAAGGGCGATAATGGAGAAAGTAGAAGACATGAGCCATGTGGTCTCAGCACTGCTGTTCAGCCCCACCCCATCCCAAAGCCCCCATGACGGGTGATCTCCACTGTTGCCTCAAGAAAGTGATGCAGAGTGTGCTCACTTGCTCCCTGTGATGGTGCATAAACAGTTCACCACTGGGCAGGGCCTGGATGTATTCAGAAGGCTCAGAATCTTTAGGGGCTGCAAATGCTAATGCCTGAGATGTCTCTGCTGACTGCTTGGGACCTGGGATGAGTGATCACTGTTACAGGCTGAGCATACCTGAACACGTTTTGGTTCAAATAGAGCCCAAAGAGCAAGTTCTACTAAACCTCAATTTTTTGCTCCAGCTCATAAAAAGACCCTGCTACAGCTAAAGGCAAAAAGACCTTCTCAATGCAGGCTATGTACTGTCTGTTTCCTGAGCATCACTCCTTCAAAAAGGTTTGGGATATATTTTTTTCCAGAAACAGCCTGAGGCTGATGTTTTCCATGGAAATTTTCATCCTGAATGGATAAAGTTAAGTAGAATTAAAAGCAGCTGAAAATAGTGTTTGTTAATGGAATGTGCCAGGCAACCTGAATAATAAGCAGTGACACCTACCCGAGATAGACGAGGGCTCTGCAGTGATTCATAAGGCTGTGAGCACCTTCGTCAATGCAAATGCACTGATGCATTCTGTCTGGCCTCTGTAGCTTTAGAAACCATGAATGGAAACCAGTTTCTCCTCAGACTTTCTGCCTCCAGTCATTCAGTTGTGATTGATAGATAACCTTTGGCTGTATGTTGTGGTGTGTCTCTGCAGAGAGGTGAGGTTAGTGTTTCCTTTGCACTGCTGGTATCCTGCCTGCACATAAATATTGGACCTATACCTCATCGCTTTTTCACACATGGAAAGGTACCGGTTTTCCCTGAAGTGTCAGTGCACTTCAGCTGATGCAGTTGACTTCTCACCAAATCCTACCTGGATTAACTCATTCAATGTATACAATTTAGACTTGTTATAAAAAAAATGAAGAGCCCTTCAGAGGCCTGGTTAACATAAGGTCTTTTACCAATTCAGCAATCAAAGTGAGGTGCCCAAGTCCCTGCCCCCTCACTGCATGTGGCAGCCTCCAGCTTCTTCTGGTTGCCCTTTCTGAGGGGCAGGCACTTGGGGGGCAGACAGGGCTTGCTATGAGAGACCCAGCTGTGCTGCTGCTCGCAGGAGATGTGTCCTACACAAGAGATGGGAGAGGAGCTGCGCCTCATGGGTGATTCCACCAGAATGAGCCCCAGGTGCTGCTATGGGCACACAGGAGAACCCCTGACTCGGGCAGACCAGAGGTCCACGCTCTCCTCTTCTTGGCTGGCTGGGAGGGTTCTGTGGGTGCCACGTGCAGCCCCACAGTCCTACCATTTTTTTTTCTTTGAAAACAGGAACTTGCACAGCAAAATCGGATCCTCTTTCTTTTACTCCATGCAGCTCAAGTCTTCTTTCCACTTGGACAGCAGTATAGGTAAACCTGAAATCAGGAAACCAATACATCCTGCATTTCCACTACATCTGGATTACACAGGTCAGGGAAAGTTTCCTACAAAGCCTGCCTGGACCTTGCATGTCTCTCAGGGCCTTCTTTTACTAAAGCAGCATCCTTAAATTTCCTGCAACTGTGTCATACTCATTGATGCACTAACCGGGGGTCAGTCTTGAAACAAAGTGTGTGGGGGGAAATACTTGCAAATGCAGAGGCGCTTGTTCCACCTCAGGCTTGCTGAAGTGGGGGGCCACTCTCTAGTGCTGAGAGCCTGGTTTTTCTTTGGTCCTCTGGAAGCCTGGTTCCTCGGGTAACAGGTCTTCAGTTATTGTGGGCACGGGTGGGCAGCTGGGCACCCACTTTGTTAATGATCTGGTTTACCCTCCTTCTAGGACTATTTCTTTCATAGTTCTGTTCTCTCAGTACCTGAAAGACGTCCCTGTGCCACTGCCATCTTACCAGGGAGGCATGAAGTGCCACCTCTCCCCTGTCTACCTCTTCCAGATCTTCCCGGTACGTAGGGGGTCCCAGGGATGTGGCAGCAGCCCTCACCTGCTCCAGGCTGCCTTGGCTCTTTCCACTCACATCCAGCCAAACTGGTGCTTCCCAGACCACCCTATCCAGTGAGGGGGCAGCGGGGAAGAAGGTGCCCATGGCCCTCACCATCAGGAGGGAGGGAAGAAGGGAGAATCACCAGGACCCACTGCAATCCCTCTGCTTTCATTCCATGTGCAGGGGAAAGGGTTGGGTGGGGAGACACCTTTTCCACTTCAACCATGCTAGAGACGCTACCATACCCTAACCAGACCCCGCTGCTGCATGTGATGGGCAGGTGCTGATGGGGCTGTCCTTGAGCTGGCTGCTCTGCTACGTGCTGACGGTGACCAACGTCCTCCCTGCAGACCCCACTGCCTATGGCCACCTGGCCCGGACGGACATCCGTGGGGATGTTTTATCCCAGGCTCCCTGGTTTCGGCTGCCTTACCCAGGTACCACTGTTCTGCCTTTCCTCATCCTGCCACGCTGCTCCCTGCTCTGGCTTTCACCCCCGCTTATGGCTAGCAGGGGGAGAGTAAATGCCAAAAAGCAGGCAAACACCCACAAGCATCCCTGCTGTTCTCCTGCAATAGATTTCAGGACAAATCAACCTGAACCGAGCTCTTTACTTGCAGGCCAGTGGGGAATGCCAACAGTCAGCCTGGCTGGAATATTTGGCGTCTTAGCTGGGGTGATTTCCTCCATGCTGGAGTCTGTGGGAGATTACTATGCCTGTGCTCGCCTGGCCGGGGCCCCGCCACCACCAAAGCACGCCATCAGCCGTGGCATCGGGGTAGAAGGCATCGGCTGCCTCCTGGCTGGTGCCTGGGGGACAGGGAACGGCACCACCTCATACAGCGAGAACGTGGGGGCCCTGGGCATCACCAAGGTGAGCCTCACCACAGCGGGGTGGCTCCTGGAGGTTTACCCCAGGGGTGTCTGTACAAAGGGGTGGTGCACATGGGTATGTGCTGGACTTGGGGTGTGATCTTAGCCCACCTTCTGCAAGGCATGCTGGAGGATGTGCCTTGGCACATTGGTGACCAGCTCAGCAGCACTGTGAAGAACCTAACAGAGGTGGCCGGTCCTGCTTTTTCTCTGCTTATTGTCTGTGCCTGGGATGACTGCACACTGCTGTTATTCATGGCACGTGGCTTAGCTGAGACTAAAGAGAGCTTGTGCTAACCTGAAAATGAGAAGAAAGGGGAAGGGAAATGGAAAGAGAAGGGAAGGGAAAGGGAAAGCTTTAATAGGACTTCAAATTCCGGTTTTTAGAACACAAGGATGCCAATCATGTGAAAGGTAGACTATTTCTTTGGAATTGTAAAATGTGATGGCAAAGCGTTATGTTTTTACCTTTCCATAAAGTTTTGTGAATCCCTTGAGTACCTTATTGCTTTTATAAGGGTAAGAAATTTCAAGAGATAAGCTTGACAATCAGATCATAGATTTTCACTAAGCTTTGCAGCCAGGGGATGGGTACATCCAGCAGCCAACTGGAGACCATTTTTAAACCATTGTCAAATAAACAATGTCTTGTCAGCAGAGCTGTGAGTCAGTAAATGAATGCAGACTTTGATTTATGGCTCCCACTCTGTAATATTACTGATTTCACTGGATTTTATAAACCTCACTCACAATAACCATTTTTCAGAGTGAAATGTTAGTGTTTGACCAAGATGGCTGCTTCCAGCAAAAAGGGCCGTCTGCTTGGAGTCCAGTTTAGCCTGTCACCACATGTATCTTGTCCCTGTGAAAACTGAGGATGCTGACAATATACCTGTGCCCATCCTTTCTTTCACAAGGGACTGTAGTGATACACAAGGGGTGTAAGGGGTTTAAACTTAAACAGGGGAAGTTCAGGTTAGATAATAAGAAGTTCTTCACTGTGAGGGTGGTGAGGCACTGGAACAGGCTGCCTAACAAAGTAGTGACTGCGCCACCCCTGGCAGTGTTCAAGGCCAGGTTGGGCAGAGCCTTGTGTGACATGGTCTAGGGTGAAGTGTCCAAGCTCATGGCAGGGGGGGTTGGAATTAGATGAGCTTTAAGGGCCTTTCCAGCCAAACCCATTCTGATTCTGTGACTCTATAACATACAGTTTGCTGCATACATTGTGCGTATGGGATGTAGCACAGTGCAGAAGTGCCCAGACTCATAATTACCAAATTATAGGACATGTTCTCCCATGTACTTCAAGTCCTCCAGGCGGACTTGCCATCCTTGCTGATTTAGGAGAGATGTTTCCCTTAGATCCCACTCCTGTTCACTGTGCTCACACAGTGTTGTGTGCAGTGGGTAAACAGAGCAGAAAATAGTCTTGTTTCAGTCAGCCTTAAATCCGTGTAAAGACTCTGGCTGGAATCGGTGGGGGTGCCGAGACCACAATGCAGATTTAATTTTATTAAAAAAAACATGGGAAACACATTTTTCCCTAAGAAATGGAAACACAAGGGCCTTGTTTCCCTGTTTAACAGAGGTGTCCAGCACCACCTGAAGAATCTTTGGAGGTTTCAGATATCCACAGGATCTGTCAGATAAGGCAAGGCGAAGCTGCTGGAAGCTGCAAAGATGCAGCAACTTAAATGGTATCAAAGACCTACATTTAAGCTGCTTGATCAAGCCCAGCATGCCAGTAAAAAGAGGATTTCCTAGAAAAAGAGGATTTTCAGGAGAGGTAAAGACCTCACAATCACCATGTAGATAGCAGGGAACTGGGCAGTTTCTTCAGTCTTAAGAAAGAGAAATGATTTTCATGTTTTCCTGACATAATTGAAACAAACTCTAAACTAGAGGCTTTAGCGCACATGCTCACACTTGTGGTATCAGTGGATTAGGTAATTTGCCTTCAAGGCCAATTCCATATACTGGGTAATTTGACATTTTGGCAAATTAAGAATCTGAAGCTTCATTCTAATCTTGGAACAAATAGATCTGTTGGCTTATATTAAGTCACAGTTTTGATGGTAATGGTGTACCAAGGTTTTAAGCCAAGGAATATAAAAAGCCCACCTGAAGGCAGTGAATGATTTTATTTTGAAGCTCCCTACCAAATCTTTTTCATTTATCTTTCACAATCAAGTAAGACTTAAAACATTTAAAAGGACATGTTTAAGAATACTTAAAAAGAAACAGAATTAGTTACTAAGAATGTTTTTTGTTTAAAGCATTCACAAAAAGCCCTGCCTGTAAATGTGACGTTCTTCAGGTATTTAAAGGGAGGGATTAAAATATTTAATTGAATTATAAAATGTTTGCAGAGTAATTGAATTATAAAATGTTTGCAGAGGATTACAGAGTTCCCTGCCTAAGACACAAATGTTGTAAATCTTAGCATGATTCTTTAAGCTGTCCAAGTTTTGGTGTGGCAAGGCATATCTCAACTTGAAAGCCTCATAAATACTGCTGCTCTTCTTTTCAGTTTCCATAGTATGTAGAGGTCTCTTTCATCCCTTTGTTTGGCAGATACTCTTTTTTTTCCCCCCCTATTTGCATGCTCTAACAGATCTGAATGGAAGGCATGGCTTGGTGCTTCATGCCGTCTTTGTTGGAGTGCCCAACCCAGAAAAGGCCACCCTGGCTCTTTCTAGGGGGAAAAAGTGAGAGTAAAAATGGTTTTACTGAAGCAATGGGTGAGAAGAGATAGGGACAGACCAAGATACTTCCCTGTTTCTGATTAGCCATTTGTTGACCATGAATGGATGTATCAGATCCCAGAGTTTGGCACTGGAGCAGCCAGCCAGCTCTGCTCTCCCAAATCTTGGTCTACAGGGATCGGTGTGGGACACCTCATTGAAAGCCATTTTTAGGTAGCAACCCAGACACTGGTGGAAGGATTGTCCAGTGGATTGACTGAGTGGTTGCAGCGCTGTGGGTATGCCAAGACATTTCTAGGCTTGAGTGAGAGCAAAGCAGTGTGTGGGGATTAGTGCGCTCTTAATGTAATAATACTCTTTTTGTTTAAGAGCAAACCGTTAAAGTCATGACAACAGTAGGAATGAGGATAACACCATGTAAATAGGTGTGGATCCATGACTGCTCTCAGAGTGCCTTTCATGATGCAAATTTAATACTGCACCAATACAGGTGCTTCCCATGCAGTGTGAAAATCCCAGCTCACCGGTGGCTGCATCTGAACCTGTGACTGAATGTGCCATTGAGTGCTTCATCCAGAGGTGAAACCCCTGCCCGGCAGGCTGGAGCTGGAGCCTGCCATCCCTCACCTCTCTGTGCCAGTCAGCGTGTGACTGCCTTTGCCTCCTCTTCCTCTCGCCCCAGGTAGGGAGTCGAATGGTGATCATTGCCGGTGCCTGCACCATGCTCCTCAGCGGCATCTCTGGGAAAGTCGGGGCAATGCTTGCCAGCATACCCACACCCGTGATCGGAGGCATGTTCCTTGTGATGTTTGGAGTTATCACAGCAGTGGGGATTTCCAATTTGCAGGTAATGGCTGTGCAAGTGCCACTGCTTCCCTAGGGAAGGGGACTTCTGTTTCAAGTCAGGTTATTACCAGGCTGAATCAGATGCAAACATCTGCATTGGCAGTTCCTTGGGAGAAGATGAGGGGATGTTCCAGAGGGGCTAAATCACAGAGGGTTCCCCAGTCAGATCAGGGTTTGCCGGCACCGATGGGAGCAGGATCACCAACACCCCAGCAGCAAAAGGGCTGCTGCCCATGTCCGCTCCTGCAGGCACTGTTTACATCCAAGCATGTCTCATAAACATGACAGTAATCCACAGGCTTGGGTAATTCCAGACGTAATGTACACAATTTCTCTATGCAGTACACTGATATGAACTCCTCGCGAAACATCTTTATCTTTGGATTTTCTGTATTTGCTGGCCTCACGGTTCCCAACTGGGCAAACAAAAATAGTACGCTGCTGGAAACAGGTAAGAAGCAACATCAGAACCATTTCCTGTAGCATAAAACTGAAGCAAAGGCTGATCCATAGAAAGCTTATAAAACGCACTTTTTCCTGATAAACCCCTGCCACATGCATTGACTGTTGCCTGTTTCTTTCTGGGAGTGCTGCTCTTGTCCTTTGCTCTGATGCACAGCTCTGGTGCAGAAATCTCTGGTCTCGATCAGTGACTGCACCTCACCAGATTCCTTTTGTGCTAAGAATGGCAGAGTGCTTCCCTGGGACATGTTCCCAGGATGGAGCAAGAGAATACGCCAGGGCTGAATTTTGATCAGCATCTCAATGAATGAGGCTTCCTCATGGGCTCATATACAATAGCACTTTGTATTTCCAAAATGCCCAAATTCCATCAAGTTCACTTTATTGAAATTTCCAGTGCTCCAACACTTACCCCTTCACTGTGTCTTGTGTGACTAATGTGTTCATCATAAAGGCTGTAGTGTCCTCTGTTAAGGTGTATCTGGCATGCTCAGTGGGCTGTTGAAAGAGCTGGGCTCACAAATCCCTCACTGTGTAGGTGGTCTAACAGTGCCACTGGGCTTTGCTCGTCTATTAGCCCTCACAGAGAAACATTACACCTGGTTAATTCATGGTGAAATCACATGCTAAATATGCCTGTGTTTTAATGGGAACTGAAGCTTGTGCTTTTGTAGGAAACTGCTTGGTGTTATGTTGTGGAGGTGCAGAGTGAATTTGGAGCAGAAGGCAGCTTCTTCTGGGCCAGTGGTGTGGTCTGCACTGTTAGGCTCTTAATATGTTCATGAGTTACCTCCTGCCCACTGGCAGCTGGGTCAGTGGATAATTACACAGAAGAAAACTGTAGGTTTGGAACTGGCAGTGAGATCAATCTCTCTTGCATTGCCAAATCTTAAGCTCTGCTTTGGGATCTGCAGGTCTAAACAAGCATGCAGCTTGCAGCCTCTTAGCACTGGGTATGTTGCTGGTCAAACATGCGTCTCTGCACCAAAGCTTTGGTTTTTTACTAGGAATCATCCAGCTGGACCAGGTGATCCAGGTGCTTCTCACCACTGGCATGTTCGTAGGTGGACTCCTGGGGTTTATCCTTGACAACACCATTCCAGGTAGGATTTGCTGAAATGACCTAAGCTACTAGTTTGTGCCTGCCCTAAGGTTTGTTTCCTAGCATATTTTGTCTTCATGACTACTGCTCTATGGGCAGGAGTTGTGCTATCAGCCATGAAACACCATGTGACTAACTCCTCCCAGAGAGGGGTGAGAAACAGCAGACATCACTGAAATGGTATCTGGATGGAAAACAGCAGATTATAAAACAACTAACTCATTTTTTCAGGAACAACCTAGTCTGAGAGAAAGATTTATTTGGGAAAAATGTCTTTTAGTGAAAATGCCAGCCTAGGGCCATTTTGCTAGTTGAAAGGAGAGAGAAAGGCAACCAGAAGTGGAAAGCCCAAACGTGTGCCTCCTTATGTTTGCTGCTAAAACTGAGGCTTGAACTGCTGCTACAGCAGTGGAAAGCAGGAGGAAAGGCTGGTGACCAAAGATAGGATGTAGCACCTGCAGCTGGTCCAAACAGCCAGGAAAGAGCCTTTGATTTTCATTGAGCCTGAGGAGGGATGGCTTAAGAACAGGAGAGGAAGCCATCTTTTCTGCTACAGAAAAAGAGCAAGAAGGACACTCCGTTAACCAACTGCTTCTACTGTCTCAGGCTCCTTGGAAAGTGAATCTCCTTCTGTCTCATTACTTTTCTTGTAGCCCTTGATCTTCAGCTCCTCCAGGCAGGACTTACAGGTGTGCTCACTCCCATTACCCAAGAGGGACTCAGCTGTTTCAACAGCTACAGGCACTTGCAGTTCCTTGGCTCGGGTAAACACCTGTGACAGGCTACTAATTGCCAGCTAAACCTTATTCCTCTATTCTACAGTATCTGGGCGGTTAACATTCAGCTTTGCTTTCCTAGCACTGTATGAATCCCCCTTTGAACAGTTCTGTTAGTGAGTTTTGGAGCTAGAAGGGTTTAAGTGCAAGGGATCTGTGTGTTGTGCTGGGTCTGCCAGGCTTTCGGAAGTGGGTGTGAGGCACTCAGGGTAGTGCTGTGCTCAAACACCTGCTGTTTTAAACACAACATTCTTGATTTTGCTGTTGCAGGAACACAGGAGGAGCGAGGGCTCCTGGCATGGAAGCATAGCCACAAGGGAGAGGCAGACATCTCTCAGCTCATTTCCAAGGTGTATGATCTTCCATTTGGCATAGGCACCAAATACTGCGCTGTCTCTTGGTTTCGGTATCTCCCTGCTTGCCCCAAAAGGCTACCTGGTGGCAAGAGAATGGACGAACTGAAGGCTGCCGAACAGGAAAGCAGTGTTAGAGCAAGTTCAGAAAGAGACTCTGAGCTAGGTGCTGATACAAGGATATAAGCACCTTCCTGTCTCGGAAGCTGAGGCCTGAAAAGGATGTCTGCAGCCCACATCATTTGAACTTGAGCTGTCAGCTGTCAGAGGCTGGTGCAGGAGAATGATAATGCCTTTCTCTTCCCAGCTGTGCACCCTGCACCTCCAGGGAGTAATTTTTCTCCTCTCTGCTCCTGCCTGCCCACCTCTAGGAAGAACATATCCCTTCTTCAGGGAACACCAAAGCCCAAGAAATGCTTGGAAAAGATGTTCAGTTTCCTTCCTTGCACTGAACCTTGGGGACCCCAAGGAGCAGCTGTTTAGCTGAAGCAGAGCTCTTGCTGTCCTCTGTCCTGGCTGCCCAAGGAACCACAGAAGATATCCCTGGTGTGGGCCCTGTACCACTCTCAGGCATCCCTAGGGCTGAGGCTAAATCCCCACCACCTTAAAGATCTGTAATGGCAATGCCCACCTCTCGGCTTGTGCTTTACACTCATCCTGGCCAAGGGGAAGGAGTGGGCACCTTTAGGTCATGATTATTCTCATTTCATATTCCCATAAAGTCAGTCAAAGGAATGCGGTTGTAAGAGAGGCGTCTAAGGTTAATGGGCTTGATTGTCTTCTGAACATGCCTCTCCTATCTTTGACTGCAGAGGGAATCTAGAGACCTTCTGTCCTTGATCTAACAAAAACCCAGCTTCACTGCAGTGAATCCCTGAGCAGTCTCAGGGAAGCCAGCTTCCCCAGAGCACCAAACCCTGCAAAGATGAAGGAGACAATTCTTCTGCTCACAGTGAGATGCATCCCTGTTACTGCTATGTCCTGTGTCCCCTCCACTGTACTTGTTTGGTCTGGTGATTGTGCAGTGACAACGACTTCTCTGGAAAACAGTTTGCAGATTCTTGTTCCTGTCCACTGTCAGCAGAAACAGCCTTAACCTATATGGCCATGTCCAATGCAGTTGCATGCAGTGCTGGTTGCTGGTGGTGTGTAATAACATTACTGTAGTATGAGCTTGTTTCCAGTGCTGAGATTTATACTTAGTTGGGTTTTTTTGGAAAATGAATGAAATGTACAGTGTAATGGTATTTCTTAGGGTGATCACCATAGTGAGTGGCTGATGGCATTCACAGAATCAGTGTATAAGGGACCTTTGGAGGTTATCTGGGTCAGCCCCTGCCCAGAGCTGGTCCTGTTAGACCAGGTTGCAGAGGACTGTGTCCAGTTGAGCTATGGGTGGAGAGCCACAGCCTCTTCGGGCAGCCTGTTCCAGTGTCTGACCACCCCTATGGTGAAAAGTGTTTTCCCTCATGTCTACCTGGAATTTCTAATGCTTCACTTTGTCTGTTGTCTCTTGTCCTATCACTGTTCTTCTCTGAGGAAAGTCTGACCCCATCTTCTCTGTACCCCCCACTCAACAGCTGAAGGCCATGATATGATGTCCCCTTTGCCCTCTTGGCTCAAGACTGAACAAAACCTGGGTAGCTTAATTGAAAAGCTTTAATTCCTCATGCTTATTACAGTCCTGTTCTTTAGTCCCATCCTGCAGCTGTAGCAGTATGTGGCTTATTTTACCAGTAAGGGATATATTGGGTTTTTTTTTTTTGCTTTGGGAGTGAATGAAGTCTGAACAGATCAATTGTATGAGACTGGGATCCAAAAGGAGGAAAGATTATGGTACAAATAGTTTGCTGATACGGGCAGGTTGCAGTGCCTCTGTTGAAGATTGTGGTTGTTATGCCTTTGGGAGAAAAAATAATTTGCACATTTAAATATAATCTGATCCCTCCCCATCATCACAGATTTTACAGAGATGACTAGTCCCAGGCATCTCAACTCTGGCATCTGCATCCTCCACAACCTTGACTACATCTCTAGGCTTATTTAGAGCCAGCCTGTTCTCCCAGAGATCTAGCAAACAAACCCATGGTATTACTCATCATCACTCACAAATTTACTTGTGCTGCAGCACGTGTCAAAGCAAGTTGTTACTCTACCTCAGCCTGTTCCTGTGTCCTGTACTGAACCTGCCAGGCTGCTGCTGGCCAGACCTGGCACACACTGGAGGAGTGGTTTTGATGGGAACAGGATACACAGCTAATGACCAAGGTAAACAAGCCACACCAGCAGGGCCAAAACCTGCTGTACTGTATGGCCTTCAGGTGCTCCATCTGCCATGTGAGACCTTTTCCTTCAGTGCTGCAGCTGGGATCCCCACATGGAAAAAGTGAGGTGGCAAGCACACATGGGGAACCCTTAGTAATTACTGGCTCTGTGTCAGCTCTGTGGAGGCTGCAGCTATATCTTTTTACTTCTCCTCCTCAAGACATGTTAGGATTCTGGCAAGTGCCAGAGGTTTATATTTGCTTTAGCTCTGTTCAAAAAACCCCAAACTATTGCCCCAGGTTTTCCTACAAATGTAAGTCTTGATTTGGCTTCTAGTTCCCCATGCCGAAGATGGAGAACATTGCTCATCTGTTACGTTGTCACCCTTCACTCCCAGCCTACTGCCATGTCTGTGTGTCCCCATCTATATTTGGCTTGCGAGCTCCCTAGAGTAGAGCTGGGTGCGACTTCACAGCTCCTGGCATGAGAAACCCCAGTTCCCAGAGGAGGGGATTACCCTAGCACATCCTACAGCCCAAGAGGCACAGACAGCTCTGTGTGGGTGGGTGGGTATGCTGGTCTGGGACAGCCATATCTGCTGTTGTTAAGGCTTAGAAGGCAGTTTTTCAGAAGCTGTTTATGTCCCTATTTCAAGCTCAGGCTTCTGAATGTCCTTTAACATCCTCCCTTTGGTGTGTTTGTTGTAAATATATAAAATATCCTTTTATTTGCCTCAGGAGGACATTTCCAAATGTTAAAATGAAGTAGGCAGTGGTTAGGCTGCAGGGCCACCACTCCTTCCAGCTGCATGTGGCCACTTGAGGTTTGGAAACAGCTTTGGCTTTGCACTGCAACGACACAGCTTCTGTTTATTTGCTACTTAATGGAAATAAATGAAAATCAGGGTATCCTCAAATGTGAAAGTGAACACTTGAGTGCTGTTCTGGACTGCTTTGAGAACAGCCAGCTACCTGTTGACTCTACTACCCTTTGGGCTACTGTTGAATCCTAAGCACAGCAAGACTTCCTAATTTTAACCAGGAGTGGGGTCACCCTGCTTGCAGCTGTGCAGAGAGGCAGACAGCCAACTGGGGAGTCGCAGCACATGCTCCTGCTGTTCTGGCTGAGGAGACCTGGTGATGTGTATTTGTTCATACCAAAGTGCACTGGCTCTAGAACAGCTAATCAGAGGCTCATTTTCACACGTTTCTCATAAAAAGATGGGACCTGGGCAGCAGGACTGCCCTGTGTTGTGAATGCCCCATCCCTGGCAGTGGTCAAGGCCAGGCTGGGTGGGGCTTTCAGCAACCTGGTCTAGTGGAAGGTGTCCCTGCCTGTGGCAGAGAGGTTAGAATTAGATGATCCTTAAGGTCCCTTCCAATTCTAACCATTCTAAGATTCTATGTTGTGCTGAATGTGCTGTAAAGTGAGGGGCTGCTGTGCTGCATGCAGCAATAACGCGCTCAAGAATTAAGGCTGCTTCCCTGCCAAGGCAGAGCAGCCCTCCCACACACCAGGGCAGAACAGCTATTGTCTGTGTAGTGTTGGCTCTGCAGGAGAGGATGTACAGGCCTGCACTCTTGTAAACTATGATCATGCAACAGGAGGGACCAAAGTAATAAGTTCTTCATCTTCTTAATGTCACGTACCTCCACAAAGCCTGCTACCTTTTGGAGGAGTTATTATTTTCACATTACCTGAATACACCTGTTGTTTCGCATTACTGTTCAGGCCAGCCTTAGCCTAAAATTCTGCTAGTGAAGCATGTGTAACGATCAAAGGAATGCATCTCCATAGTGTACGGTATCCATTTAAAACTGCCTCCCCTAGTACCTGGCAGGCTGAAAGCCATTTGAAAATGAAATATTCTATTCTCTAGCTTCTGTCCTGAATTGGCCTTCAAAAGGGGGGAATGAATGGCTAATAAAGGTTGTTAACCCTTGAACATAGTTCTGAGATATAAAGGATTTTATTCATCTTCACAGCATTTTTAATTCTGAGACACTATCTGAGCAGCATTACTCATCAAAGAATGAAACATGACAGAGGAGCACAGGGCTGATCGCTCAGCTTTACACACTTTGCAAAAGTAAATAAACCAGTGTATTATTGTGCCTGCCCTGGCCAGGTGATTTGGAAATGGGTAGTCACTGCTGCTGTCCTTAAAAAGAGATGCAAGAGCCTCATCTCTGTGAGGCAATGCCTCTCTCCTTGTCAGCCCAAGCTGAAAAACGGCACCAGAATAGTAATCACTGCAAGGGTGCAGGCACTTTGTGATTTTTGCAGGTTGCAGATTGAGACCTGCATCCTATGAGGGTGAGTAGCCTAATGTGACCTCTCTGCAGCTCTTTCACAGCTTATGCTAGTCACTTAACTGTACATGGCTCAGTTTACCTGTGAAGTGAGATTAAGCATTAAAAAGCAATAGACAAAAGTATTTCTTAACATTTTATAAGTATCTAAAACCTGTAACAAAGGTATAAATTACTCAACCGATACACCAAGAAGCACTGATGAGGGAACGGGAAATTAACCAGAACAAACCACTTTAACACAGCGTTTCCACACTCTGCTCAGAGAGGTGCTTCACTGAAAAGAGATGCAGTCTCTTGGTGTACCCAGAAATGCTTGGCAAAACATTAGCAAACAGAGAAACTGTTTAGAAATCTTCGTCATCGAAGGTCTCGGTGCACCTCAGCATAACAGTCTCATAATCAAACTGAAGATCTTCTTCCTGAAACCCCCCCCAAAGTCAAGCAGGGTTAAAACTCCAGGAGTTGACTGAGTTTCAAATATACAGTGGGTTGGTCAAGTGCTGACATGTGCCAGCTGATGTGTCATGAGCCTTCCTCTGAGTCAGCAACCAGCACTTGCCAGGTGCCTGAGGTGCCAGATAAAGAATGGCTCAAATCTTCAACCAATTTCTTTTTAAACTCACAGGGCTCCACCCTGTGGCTATCAATGTAATTCAGATAACTGGGCCTGAGTGTGGTAGCAAGTGGGTCACATAACAGGCTCTGAAGATAGGAGAGCTTCCTTGTGAGCCCTTAATTTCTACTGACTTCAGGCTTTTAGTAACAGGAAATAGTTTTGTCTTTCACCAGCTTACAGAGAGAAAGTGGCTCTTGAGAAATACATAAGTGTAGGAGATAAAAGGATTCATGCCTGCATTCCATCTAATCCACCTTCTGCACTGATGCAAAACTCCTCAGGGCAAAACTACTTTTTAAAAATAGGTGCTATTTAAAAAAGAATAGCGTAAGGAGCACTAAATCCACCTTGCTTTTTAAGTGTTTCACCTAAAAATCTGTAGTTTTAACAGAAATTGGGCCTTTGAAGAAGCAAAAGCCCTCAGTGCCATTTAGAAAAAGACTCTCAGATTTTTACTTAGATACTGTAAAACCTTTGGACCTCAATCTAAACTAATTCTTTACTACTTTTGCTGCTGAACATCTCTTATGTGACCTTAAGACAACAGCTCTTGAAAAATGACAAGACGGCTTTAATCTCACACTCAGAAATATTTCTGTACCATCTATGATGGAAGTATGCTCCTGTTCTCATTTTTGGGTCACTATCCTTTTAATAGCCCTCCCCATCCTTGTCCAAATGATTTACTCTCTCCTCTTGTGCAAAAGTCTTTCTCAAGCATTTTATACCAATGGGGTGCATGCCCTTGGCAGCCTTGAGATCCAGGACAGCAGCTTAAGAAAGGCTGTGCTCAGTGGATCTGAGATTACAAAATCCTGAATATACACAACGCAACAGTAATGCTTTGTACCTGGACAGTTATCCAGAAATGGCATAACATAGCACTGGCATATGCTGAGCAGCAATAAAACCCATCACCTCATCAGCTCTGCAGATGAAAGGAGACCATAAGCTGTCTTCTGTATTTCAGTTA